GTGCAGGAGATCCAAGACTATCTAAGAACTGGAAAACTTAGACAAACTAAACTCTCCTCTTCACAGTGGTCAGCTCTGGTTTATATGTTGCTGACATCAGAGCAGAAGATGGATGTTTTTACTCTAAAACCATTCATTGGAACACAAAATACAGCAGATGAAGTTCTTCAGAAGCTGCTGCCTGTGGTTAAAGAATCCAGATCAGTTCAGTAAGTCACATTGACAACAATCACTACACTGATGGTCACATTTATACTTTTAGCTCTTTCTAACCAAAATAACAAAAGGAGGACATTTTCACCAAATCCCATTACAGTCAGCAGGGGCAGATTATCACTGGCAACTGCCCTGGAGCCAGTTATCTCCAGGGGTACCCACCCCTTATTTGTTTAATTTTTTCACATTCACTGTAATAAAAAGAAAGTTACAATGAAAAGTGTTAAGCGAACAGAAAGTGAAAATTGAAAGTATTAAGCGATATCTTCCTGGCTTTAGACAAAGGAGATGATGATGTCTTGGTGCTTCTTGACTTGAGCGCAGCTTTCGACATGATTGACCATGATATCCTTATCTCTCGTCTTGAACACGCAGTTGGTCTAAAAGGCATAGTTTTGGAGTGGTTTCAGTCCTATTTTAGTGGTAGATGTTTTTCAGTTAACTATAGTAAGATGACCTTGGGCAAAAAAACTCTTTCCTGGGGGGTTCTGCAAGGGTCTATTCGTTCTCCCATAATTTTTTCGCTAACACTTTACAATACGTGTGTACTAATAAGCATTAATTCATGCTTAAACTAATGCACAGATAATACTGAATTAATGTGTAACTAATGGTTATTTAAGCTATTCATTAATGATTACCACATTAGAACTAATTAAGAGCCTGTAGGTTAATGTATTAGTTCATACAGGAATTGTTGTTAATTAAATATGTAATTGTGGATTTAATTCCATAATAACTCATTTTTTAAGTAATAGTATTAATTAATATGTTAATTACCAAAATGAGCCAAAGCCTTGTATTTCAACTTCCAGATATGACAGGTACACTAATATGCATTAATACATGATTAATTACTTCATAGTTAGTGCACATTTTTGTGCAAATTTACTACAATTACTAAATGACTAGTTAATAATGATGTGCCCCAACAAGTTAAGTCATAACATAATGATACCTTTGCAAATCATTAGCTAATGATTAATTAAAGCAGACAACTGGAAGTTGAAGTGCATAGCTTTGACTAATTGTGGTAATTAACACATTAATTTACACTATTAGTTAAGAAAATATGTTATTAAGGAATTAATACACAATGACACATTGAATTAATAGCAATTCATGTATTACTTAACCTATTAATCATATAGACTCTTTATTAGTTGCTGATGCAGTAATCATCAATTAATGGTTTAGTTCTTCATGAGTTATACATTAACTCATGATTATCTGTGCATTAGTTAAGTATGAATTAATGCACATTAGTGCACCCGTATTATAAAGTGTTACCCTTTTTTCTTTATATTTGCTCCCTTTGGGTAGCATTTTTAGAAAGCATGGAGTGTAATTTAATTGTTACGCCTTTTGACACGCAAATGTAATTCATTTGAGTCACTTTTAGACTGTTTAAAGGACGTTAAAAACTTTTTAATGCTAAACGAGGAAAAAAATGAGGTTATCGTATTTGGTCACCCAAATAACTCCCCTGACTCCTTATTAAAAAAAAAATTGTTAGAGATTTAGGTGTGTTAATTGACAATAACCTAAAAACACTTTAATAATAAGATTGTAAAAAAAAAAGTTCACATTTTTACAATGAATTTAAACTAGTGTCATTCATCTTCATCATATGCATGTTTTTAATTTCTACAGGTTGTGGGATTGTGGAGTCAAAGATGAGGGTTGTGTTGCTCTGGCTTCAGTTCTCAGTTCAAACCCCTCACACATGAGAGAACTGAATCTGTCTGAAAATATACTAGGAAACTCAGGAATGAAGCTGATCTCTGGTGGAATAAAGGATCCTCAATGTAAACTGGAGAAACTGAAGTAAATTATCTCTCTGAGTGTCATGCACACTGAAACTCGCACATATTTTATAATTATAGCACCGACAAGGATGTAGGATATTCTGAAATGTTGTGAAGGTGATAATAAGGTGTTTTGCAAAGACATGTGGTTCGTTTGTGAGTCTGCTGTTACAGTTCTAGATCTTCAAATCTAGACAATTACAGTTATATAAGAATTAATGGTCAATAAAATAGAAAATATTAGAAGAATATTTTTTTCTAGTATCTTTTCTCATGCATATGTGTTGAGGATTTTGTGCTACTCATTAAAATGTAAAGATTGAATATATAATGATATTGAAATAAACCTCCTCAAGCACCATGTATAAGCTGGTCTCTAAATTGGACCTGTTAATCATGTTGCGAATTGAATCTCACTGCAATTTCTGCTTTTTGGAGCTGTATATCCTGAACTGAGAGACTGAAGAGTGTCATTGTTCTCTACAGGTTGGTTAATTGTGGAATCACAGATAGAGGTTGTGCTGATCTGACTTCAGCTCTGAAATCAAATCCTTCACACCTGAGAGAACTGAATCTGATTGGAAATAAACTTGAAGTGTCAGGAGTGAATCAGCTCTCAGCTGTACTGAAGGATCCTGACTGTAAACTGGAGATACTGAGGTAAATCATCTCTCTGAGATTCACACACACTGATACTCACAAATAGTTTACATTTGTAGCAGTTCTGACATTGCTGTATGATCATCTGTAGACGCCCCTTTACCCACAGGTCAGGAAATGTACCAAGTGTAAAAAGGAGAGACAAATTTCTGTAAATTGCCTCAGACGAAACAGAGATGAGCCTGTTTGAGGTTGCTGTTAAACATGGTTCCTCTGTTGCAGATGATTATTGGCTTTTAGAGATGAAGAGTCTAGATATGGCTGAATAACATTTCTCTGTCCATACAGATATCAATTATCTCTGTATTATCTGAAGAAATAGTTGTGTATCATTTGCAAACAAAAAGTGAAGACTGACAGTACATTATGCCACTTATTACAAGTCTGGATATCAAATAAATAAATGCCAACCTCAGTTTCTACCGGGCCACATCATTTCTATGTGTACCCTTTCACATTACTCACATTTATTTGTACAATGCTTTTCATAATAATACATACCATTTCAAAACAACTTAACAGAAATGTTTTTTGTTAAGTTAAGTTTCTGTACACAACACTCCATATGGAGTGTGCCCGTGTTCCAAAGGGGCACGCCATGCCTTATGCTTAATATGCCATGGCCATAGCATTCATAATCCAGTTGGAGACAGCCCGCTGTCCCCAAGAACAGACAAGGCTGCCCTATGCAGACTGTGGGAGGATTCTTGGAAGGTGAACAGATAGGGGTGGGGTCTTTAAAAAGACATTCTTCTCCAGCATTTTGTTCTTTTAAAAGAAAACTGATTTTTTGCTGAAGCTCCTGTTGGTGTGGGTGGATATAGCAATGCAATGCACTATAGATTTCCCAGCAAAGATGAATGAAAATGAGCTTCTGTCTGCTTACATCCATTTGGCTCTAAAGAAAAAATCTGAATGAGTGGAAGCACTGCATTCTTTATACACGTATGTCCGGGGGAGTGGCTCATGCAAATTCCACTCAGCCTTTCATAAGCATCAGAGGTGTTTGGGGCTCTCAAGTGCTACCCCTAGTGTCAGTTACGACACAATCTCGAAATGACTAACATGTAAAATATTTTCTGATTTATATCTTACAGAAGTGTTTCAGTATGTGTTATTGCAGTATGTTTTATATTTATGTGTTGAAAATGTTGTGGCACTCACATAAAACAATTTAATGTGAAGTTCCTGGAAAGTTGTACACCTTGAAATGAGACTGAAGAGTGTCATTATTCTCTATAGGTTGAGTTATTGTGGTGTCACAGATGTAGGCTGTTCTGGTCTGGCTTCAGCTCTGAGATCAAACCCCTCACACCTGAGAGAACTGGATCTGTCTGGAAATAAACTGGGAGACTCAGGAGTGAATGCGCTCTCTGATATACTGAAGGATCCTCTTTGTAAACTGGAGATACTGAGGTAAATCATCTGAGAGTCACACCCACTGATACTTACAAATTGTTTATAGTTATAGTTCCAAACAAGGAAGAAGGATAATCTAATGAAATTTAACCAAATGTACTACTCGACCCCCAGTGCTGCACTTGACACTGTTGATCACAACATACTTCTTGACAGGCTGGGGCTTTCTGAGATAGTCCTAAAATGGCTCAGGTCATACTTAGGAGGGAGAGGTTATTATGTGAGTATAGGAGACCGTAAGTCTGAGTGGACATCTATGACATGGGGAGTCCTCTGAGCCAAATACTGAGAACCAAATCGCTTACCACAGCTATGCAGACGACACACAGCTCTACTTAGCCCCATCGCCAAGCGATTACAGCCCCATTGACTCCCTGTGCCAATGCATTGAAGTCAACAGTTGGATGTGCCAAAACTTTCTTTAGTTAAACAAAGACAAAACTTAAGTCATTGCATTCCGAAACAAAGATGAATTTCTCAAGGTGAACGTCAGACCTTAGGTTCAGTAGTCATGTCAAAGCAATAACTAAATCTGCATACTACCACCTGAAAAATATTGCAAGAATTAGATGCCTAGTTTCCAGTCAAGACATAGAGAAACTTGTGCATGCTTTCATTTTTATTGTAATGGACTCCTGACTGCCCTTTCCAAAACGACCATAAGACAGTTGCAGCTCATACAGAACGAGCAGAACCAGAAAATATGAACACATCACACCAGTCCTCAGGTCTTTACACTGGCTCCCAGTTACATTTAGGATTGATTTTAAAGTATTATTACTGGTATATAAATTATTCACTAGCCTAGGACCTCAATAAATTGCATATATGCTAATCGAATAATATAAACCTGACAGAACACTCAGATAATTAGGATCACATCAGCTAGAAATCCCAAAGGTTTTGAGGAAATTCCTGCTTATCTGAGCTGTATATCCTGAACTGAGAGATTGAAGTGTGTCATTGTTCTCTACAGGTTGGGTCACTGTGGAGTCACAGATGAAGGTTGTGCTGCTCTGGCTTCAGCTCTGAGATCAAACCCCTCACACCTGAGAGAACTGGATCTAACTGGATATAAACTGGATCAAAGAGGAGTGAACCTGCTGTCTGATCTGAAGGATGATCCTAAATATGAACTGGAGAAACTTCTGTGAGTAGTGATGATTATCATATTTTAATTGGTTGTTGATTTTCTTGGTGACCATGTCTGAGTTTTAACCCACTAGTGTGGGGGTATCCAATCCTGCTCCTGGAGGGCCATCTCCTGCAGAGTTCAGCTCTGACCCCAATTAAACATACTTGAACAAGCTCATCAAGGTCTTAATAGGCATACTAGAAACTTCCAGACAATTGAATCAAGTTGGAGATAAACTCTGCAGGATAGTGGCCCTTCAGTGCATAAATTATTGCAATGCAAAGAAAAAAAAATCTCTTTGTTTCATTTTATTTCAAAAGAAGATAACCATTTCATATCTTTCCCCCCAAAATGCTGCATCGTAAGACTATTCTGAAATTGGCATTTTAAAAAGATAATTGTAAATATGCATCACCACTTTTATTATCTTAAATACAAAAATGTGACAAAGAGGATAGTAAGTATTATTATGAATATGAGTCAAATGCGTAATGGTTACAAGGGGTTTTAAACCTCCAATGAATCTACTGTATTTGACACCATAAATTTTGACACTCACTATAGTAGTGCATAGTTTGTTTTAGTTGTTTTTAAGTGGATCATGTATTAATGTTGCACACATTTGACTGTCTGTGTTTCACTTTAAGGTTTTAGTTGTTGTTTCTGGATCAGCTGATGGTGAAAAATAGCCACTACAGACACATCACAATCAACAGAATCAACAGACACAAACCCATAGTGATCATCACAGTTTTCACAATAATCCAATTCTTGATCCAAAATCAAACCGAGAAATCTTTTATTCCTGTTGACATTTATACTGGCTCCCCATTATCATAATATTGTTTGAAACTATATGAGTATCTTCTGTTCAAACCATATAACAAAAGGATTGCAACTTAACACAAAGGTTAAGACCTGTGTATTTATTATTAATGAACTTGATACTGTAAGTGAGGTAATAATACACATAATTTCCTGCAGGTCATTTCTCGATGTCTGTAATCTGGTCCAGTATGGTAGTGCCGCTGTAGTTGTTTGTCTCCAATGCCAGAAGCTTCTGTATGTAATTTTGAGGCAAGCCGTTCTGTTGAGCCCCTAAACACACGACCTAGATGAAGAATGGGACGAGATAAGTATTCATATGAATAAGAGATTCATCATTGACATTTAATGATAGTCATACAACTCGACAGTCATAGATGTTAATGGTCTAAAATCATCAAGTCTTGATTTTGTTTTTGGGGTGTACTAGAATATGATTGTAAAAAGAAATCACATATTTAACATTATCACAACAACCAATCTAACTGAATTCATTTCCATTGGTGAATCTGAATGTAGCGTTTACATGAACGCTAAACAAGTGATCGGTTGATGTAGGTTTTAACATTGCTAGGAAAATTCCCGCTCCCCCGCGAGAGATACGAGACCGGTGCGTCTCACAGGTGTCGCTCATTGGTAATCACGCCACCGGCCTCGACTGTCGAACACAGAAGCCGAAAATACATTTTCTTTTTTCTCAGTCTAGAAAGCTCCAAATTCAAAAATAATTTCTAATTTCTTCTACATAAATTAACCATTTTAAAAACACATTCATCTTTCCGGAGGTGAAGTATCTATTTAAATGAGTAACATTATGTATCTATTTAAATGAGTAACATTATGACTTTATTAGATTCAGAAAAAAGTCAAAGTCAAAACTAGTCATTAGTTGTAGTTCTTGGAAAGTGGACTCTGTTAAATAAAATATCTCCCTTTGGAGTGGATTTTCTGCCCTTACATTTCTTTTATTATCTTTAAACAGCAACATTACAAACTAAAAAAAGTTGAAAAAGTGAAAAAGCATAATAGGACCCCTTTAAACCATTAAAACACAAGAATCTAAATCTCCAGTTAAAGCACATATTGATTTGTTTTGGTCAGTCAGGCTTATGATTGGAGTAAAATGTACCTTTTTATACTGTGGTGAAGGTGGACAGGGTCTGAAATTGTTCATCTTGTACGTCCGGCAGAGTATCATCTCCTCTTTAGTTTCTACTTTGACCTCTAATGGACTGTACACTCCTTCATGAACCTGTTCCTGTCTGAAACACATGCATGTGTATACTATTTATGTAGGTTACAGTGAGCACACCGGGGTTAACAGACGCATTTATTTTGTCTTAATTCTACTTTAAACCACTAGATGACACAAAGGTTCACCTCGGCACTTTTTTTAACAACCATTTTTGAAGATGCACATAGAAATCTGTCTGATCCTTGACGGGATTGTGGACACTGGACAGCAACGCAAAGTTGATTCTGCACTAATTTAATCTAATATTTAATGTTTTTTAAAATGTTGTAGATTCATGTAGTGCATGAAAATCTATAAAGTTGTTGACTTTATTTTGAGAAAAAGGTTCTAGTTAATGTTTTTCAGTTTTGTTTAATGTAAATAAACCAAAAAATGTTCAAGAACAGAATATGTGAAAGCATGCTATTTGAGGTTAAGGCGACAATAATTAACTGATAATACGGCTGACTTTTCCATTTGCTAATATGGTTAGATTCAGATGGTAAATATCATATATTAAGTTGGGTGTCCACCTTAGAGATAATCATCTTATTTATAATAAAAACCAATCATTTAAAATGTGATAATAATCATATATTATAACAGAATATCATTTGTTGTTGTTACTACTGTACAAAAAGTGCAAGGTGCGCATATATATATATATATATATATATATATAATTTCGTTTTTTGCAATAAAACAGGACAATTTGAATTCTTCGTACAATTATTAACTTATTCAAAACATTTTACTTTATTTTGTATCAAAACGTTATAGTTGTAGTTATAGTATGTAGTTATAGAACACTATAGTACCTAGTACACTATTGGATTAGTAAAAAGCGCATTTTTGTTAAAGTTAACTGTTCCACTAAATGTATATAGAAGATAATGTGTAGTAAACGAGGATGTTACACAGCAACTTACAAAATAAATAAATTGACATGAACTACTGATTTGAGTTTGTTCTTATTCTGTAGAAAGGGTGCAATATCCAATACAATACTGATACAATAGATAAATACAAGTGATTTTGGCAGTCATCACAATGGCAGGTGATCTCACCTGTCTAAACTGGGCAGGTTTTGGTCGTCTATCCTCCACACGACCCCCCACACCTCGTCTCCTTCACTCTCCTGTATCGATGCGACCCCACCGTGCCAAGAGCAGTTCGTGCAGTCACCCGAAAGACCGAAATCCAGCCTGTAGTCCTGGGACACAGTACAAGGGTAAGTATAAGACAGCATGACACAATGAAATACTGCATGGTTAATATACTTATTATAACAGGTACGTGATAGTTATTTTTTTGTGTGTGTGTGTGTGTGTGATTACCACTCATTATTTACAAAATGTTTCAAAGACAAGCCAACTTTAAAAAAAAATAAAATAAATAATAATCAAATTAAAACTAGATTGAAATAAATACTAAATTTAAATAAATAATAGATTTAACAGTACACTGCTATGACGAATAGAACATTTTAATTAAGATAATAAAAACAAAATATTTTCCAAAGAATATTATACATATAAAGAGTTCAGATGCAAAAGCCTCTAAATGCCATTTGAAATTTTCTTCTAGAATGGTCATTTTTATCAAGCTTGTATATTTAAGTTCAGTAATTTCACTTAAATGGCAATGAAGATTACCTATTAATTGCCATTTAAGTGAAATTACTGAACTTAAATATACAAGCTTGATAAAAATGATCATTTTAGAAGAAAATTTCAAATGGCACTTAGAGGCTTTTGCATCTGAACTCTTCATATAATAACTCACAGTGTAAATGAATTGGGTCTTTGTTCATGTAATTATATAGATTTTTTTTTAATGCACACAAATTTCCCATGTTAACGATTGTTTTAAAATGCAATTTTCTTACAAAACCTTTCTATTTTATTTTTAATTGGTTGTTTTTACAGTGACAAGTACACACTCACTAACGAGGTACCAAGGTAAATGTAACGTAGACTCGACTTCAATGGATATGTTTGTTGGACTATGTGCTCCTTTCATTAACAGAATATATGGTAATTATTTATCGAATAATGTGTTTGTTTACCTGTATCCTGCCGACGGAGTGAAACACAGCTGATGGGTTTTTCAGTTGTAGTCTCTCTTTCAGTAAATTACTGCCATAAGCAAAATACATGAAAAAACCGCTGGATGACATGTTCACTAATGTGACGGGGAGAAAAACAAGCGCGTCAGAAACAAGCCCCAGGACTTTCAATACCTTCGCTATGGACTCGTTCCTGTGAGCCGATTCTTTAGAATGAATGATTCGGAATCTTTTACAAGGAAATAAATAAAATTATACGGATGTGGAAACTGCGAACAATTTTGTTCACTGTATTTGGTAAAAATACAATTAATGATAATTAACAAACAATTATCATTTTGAACAACAAAACGCAAAAAGAGTTTGAATCGACTCACTTAAATGAACCCAACAGGTGAACTGACCATGGAACTGAGCCGGGTGGCGTCACGACCACAATTTTCAAAATTAAAGCCCCACTGACTTTATCGCGCTTAAACCGTACGTTAAAACTAGAAAGGTGTAAAACAAAAGCGACGTTTAGGAAATGTTGGGGTTCATTAATTTTAAAACAAAGAAATAAAGACTTATTTTGAATTACAGTTTCCAAAAATATGAATATAAGAAAAGTGTCTTAGCTATAAAACGCGTATTATTAAAATTGTAACCACCTAACCCTTGTATTTCAATTTCCCCTGCCCAGCATATTTAGGAGGATAAGTGATGGTGAATGAAAAGGTTTTGAGTAGCAACTTAACAAATACACTGAATAAACTGAACAGCAATTTAATGTAAGTAACGTTTAAACTCACTTTTTGAAAAAATATGATCAGACCCCAACACTGGCCATTATATTTGAACAAAAAATTAACATTCTTCAGTACACAACTAGACAAGTTAAATCAAGCAATTTATTGATAAGACTGAAAAAAATAACCAGAATCATCACTGGCCTTATATTAGCACAAACAGCTCAGCACTTAAACAAGACTCAAAACAGCTTTCAAAACAAATTGAATTTAATGTACAAAATGCAAACAAGTCAGAATCAAAATATTCTCCAAATAAAGAACAAAAAAATGCTGTACAAAGCGCACTAATGTACAGTGGCTTGAGATGTTCATCTCCTCGGCCCACCGCGACCACGTCCTCTTCCTCTGCCACGACCCCGTCCTCTTCCTCGACCGCGGCCAGCAACTGCAAGAATGGGAAGAAAAAAATCAATTATACATCATAGACAATTAATCAATCAATGCCCGAGTTTAAAAGTCAGCCAGTTTAGATGATATTTTCTGAAACTCACCAGCCTCTCTCTTCTTTGACTTGACTTTCGGCTCGATGTCGACCAGCAGCGTGTCCAGAGGAAGACTGTCCGGCAGGATGAAATAGCGGATGTTGTTGCCGCGGATACTGAGGGACTCCAGCTGAGTGGGTTCTCTGTTTTTCAGGGTCATCTTCACAGCTTTGAGGTGAGTGTTCATACTGACATCCACACCTGTTCATACGTTTCAAAGAGAAAGTGTAAAGCCATCGTTCAACTTAAAGTAATAGTACACTCAAAAATCTCTCATAATTTACTCTCACGCCATCCTAGATGTATATGACATTCTTCTTTCAGATGAATATCCTGGCTCTTCCCAGCTTTATAACGGCATTGGCTCTATTCACTCCCATAACAAAGCAGGGAAGAGCCGAGATATTATTTATTATAACCGTGTTCAGCTGAAAAAAGAAAGTCATATACACGTGACCTAGGATGAGTAAATTATGGGATAATTTTTATTTTTGGGTGAACAATCCATTTAGGAATTCTTAAACACAAATTTGAAGCCGATCCATTGAAACCAGTGTAATAATTAAATTATTTTAAACCATAATTACCTGTAATGGTGCCATGAACCTGTGTGCCATTCTTCAGCTCAATGGTGACTGTTTCATGGCTCAGTTTCATCAAAAACCTGTGGGATTACAATTAAAAACAAAGACTGAAGCACATATTCATCATGACAACAAACAGATCTTACAGCAGTAACTTACTAACATCACATTTGAGGCATTTCGTCAAATCCACTAACGTGTATACAAAGAGTCTTCGATGTTTTATCATATTTTTGTAGGAAATTTGATTGCGAAATTGCACTTAGTTTAAACTTATGCACTTAAGTGTATAATATTTGCCTAATAACATATATTTTGCAGATTGTATCTATAGTAAAGGGTGCATGAAAAGTCCCTGGCATTTAAAAGTGGTTGTTTTTGTTGCTGCGTTTGTTAGATTTAAGGCCCAGCAGCTACAAAATAATATCCCAAATATGTATACCTCATAAATCCAGAGATAAACCCTCGAAATGTAAGTTAAACAAAGAGCTGCGTTTAAAAACAGCAGTAATGACAGAAATGGAAACAAACACATTCATTCATTCATTCCCGCCTGTTGATGCTAACAGCTAACCAACAGCTCCATCAAATCTGACGCCATCCATTTAATTATATTGCATGTCGTTGCATATACTTTATGCATATTGATTATATGAGACATATAGAAGTTTATTACCTGACGAGTTTCATGCTGGCGGTGGACTTTGAGTGAAAATCCTCCACCGAAGTGAGAAAAAATTATAGCGCAAAACGACAAAAAAGCGTCGGACGCTACCAAAGCAATGAGAGGAATCACTTCCTGTGCGCAGCGGAAGCAGAACACTCGATGCAAGTGTTGCCACTACACTCCCCAAATCAACAGAATATTTAGACATAATAGAAAAAACGTATAAAAGCTTATTTATATGTAACGTTAATCGTAAATAATATGTTATGTGAATAAAATATATTATTTTGTATTATGATAATACATTAAAAAGTCTTTATATCAACGGCGGGATTATCAACCTCCTTAAATAGTTGAGTTGATTAAATCTGGCAACCCCGCAACAGGAAGCGAATCCCGGAAATAAGCGCTCATTGAAACATCACGTCAAAATTGAATCGAGGGTTAAATTAAAGGAATTAAACATCATGAGGAATCGCCGATGACTTTACACGGGATTTCTGAGGATGCTGGAGTGAAAATCGGATCAAACTTTCAGAATAACAGACTGCAGATGTTACAATGTGTGTGTTTAGAGTGACGTGTGTTAGTGGCAGAGCACCAGGACTGATTGACAGCTGATCTAATCCCGTTCTTCATCATTATTTCCCGTCCAAACAGCATGTTGATTAGCAGCATCTGCTCAGGTCTGTCCGCTGAATCTGTGTGCTGTCATTGATGCACTGATGATGTTTCCTAAAACCTCGTTCACGAGCCTGATCGTGGGGGTGTTCCTCCTGTATGTGCTGCACACATGTTGGGTCATGTATGGGATCGTGTACACTAAACCCTGCGAAAACCCCCGAACTGAGAGCTGTATCTCACCTTACCTGGCCGGCAAACCTCGACTACAGGTGAGACCCTCATGTGCTGCTTGTTATATATGTGTTTTTACAACTTATCTGATAAACAATGCCCGTGAAAGCACTGAAAACAGGCAAAAAAAATAAATAAATATGAATTAATGTAATATTAAATGTGAGAAAGGTGTTTTCAATCTTTTAGATGCCCGGACCCCCGATCATCTTCATATGAGGGCCCCTATTAAAAATTGAATGTGTATAGTTTCTTGTATAAAGACCCAGTTTATATACTGTGATAAACTAATATTGTAAATGTGTCTAAAATATTAATTGGGAATAAACAGAGCAATTCCAATTGGGTCCTCTCACCATCGGTGCTCGGGCCTAAATATTTTGTTTCTGTTAAGTTAATTATTAAATTTTTTTTCCCATTATAGCATTGTGCTGTTCAATGTTTTATATATATTTTTTCAATTTAATTTATTTATCTTTCTATTTATATAGAAGTCATTTAAATATTTACGAATTTTAATATATTTTTTATTTTATTCCAATTTTTATTTCTTTTTTAATCTAAATTGTATTTATTCATTTTATTAATTAATTAATATATGTTTTTAATTTATTTATTTAAATATTTAAACACAATTTGTATTAATGTATTTATTTTTTAATTTATTTATATATGTAAGTATTTTATTCTAATTCAATTTCTATATATTTATTTTAATCTGATTTTATTTATTTATTTAAATTTAACCCTATTTATTTATTTAAATAATAATTTATTTTATTTTCCAATATGAAAATTAGCAGACATATATATCCAGCATTATACAGTACAAAATATTCTTCCATAAACTATAAGAAGAAATGCAATAACGGTGATATATTGTGTGTGTTTCTTCAGCTCAGCGTCTACACCGCATTGAGACCGAATGCTGACGGAGGACACAGCCTGATCCACCGAGAGGAAGAGTTTGATGTGAACACCAGGTTTGAGAGGTACAGGAAAGCCATGGGATCTACAGTAGTAACCCATCATATTGCTGTCCAGTAGGGCTTCATTTGTGTGCTTTCTAGACAACTATTGTGTACCAGATTTGCCTTTTCACAGTTATCCTTCTGTCTTTTTAAGGTTAGTAAACGTGTCTTTGCCGAAGAAGACACGCAAGAATGGCACGCTGTACGCTATGGTGTTTGTGCACCAGGCTGGAGTCAATCCATGGCAGGATCCGCATCAGGTGCATCTAGTCACGCAACTGACCACATACATGATGCCGAAGCCTCCCGAGATCAGCCTGATCACGGGACAGGACGACCCACAGGTGAGCCGACACCCCAGCAAACGTCCCAGCGAGCAATCTTATGTTTGAAAGCCGTCCAAACACAGCCCAGACGTCTACGAAGCCGTGATTTACTGTGGATTTAGCGGTGTTAGCTACGACGTTTAGTGCCTAAAACCCCCTTAGCTGTTCTAAATTCATTGTAAATCACGGGGCTTATGGCTTTTATAAAACAGTTACTCCTAAAAATATTCATTTTAATTTTTATTTTATTCATAAATATAAATATAACGTTATATTATAACACATTTATTCCTCCGCCAAGCAATGTAGTTCCAAAGAGGTTGCCAAGCAACTCATGCAGCAAAAAAGTGTGTGTGTAACACTAATGTAATGCGCTCACCGGTGTGTGTGTGTGTGTGACACTAATTTAATGCGGTCACAGGTGTGTGTGTGTGTGTAACACTAATTTAATGTAGTCACAGCCAGGTGTATGTGTGTGTGTGTAGCACTAATTTAATGCGGTCACAGCCAGGTGTGTTTGTTGAGTCATTTACAATGGCTTCAAACATGGCTCATCCAATCAGAATCAAGGAAAGTAACTAACGTTATCCGTTTTATAGAACAAGGCAACATTTGGGCTGTCAGTGAAAGTTTAACAGACGTGTAAACCATCGCCCAAGAATAGACGAGTCGTTTCTTTGTGATCTAATTGATGACTAGGCTATGGTTTAAACGTCTGTTAAACTTTCACTGACAGCCCAAACGTTGCCTTGTTCTGGACGTCTGGGCTGTTTGGATGATATTAGATGTCTTTTAAACACAAAATTGCCTAACCCTTCACCTGAACGAAGCGCTTTGTTTGCGTTATCAATGAATCCGATTGCTCTCCAGAGTCCGGATCAGCAGAAGCAGAGCAGCGAGTCGGATCTGGAGCGGCCCGTTTCTCACTGGCGCTCTCGTCTGACGCTGAACGTCGTGTCCGAAAACTTCCAGTTCGATCGAGAGGCTCTTCCTGGAGACGTGCACCGCTACATGAGAGTGTGAGTTCTTCATATCACACACATCCAGCGGCTCTTTCAAGATGAAACAAGTCGTGAGAGAGTCGCCGTGCGTTACAGTGATTTTACCACGTTTAAAAACCATATAAGTATGGAAGCTTGTTCGCCACAGAATGAGAAATAAAGTCAGAATTGCGTGATAAAAAGTCGCAATTGCGAGATATAAAGTCAGAATTGTGAGAAATGAACTATTCTGAGGGGGAAAAAGTTAGTCTTTTTTCCCTTAGAATTGGCCTGATAACTCACAATTGCGAGTTTATATGTCACAATTCTGAGAAAAAATGTCAAAATTTCGAGATATAAACTCGAAAAAGTCTGTCTTTTTTTCTCACAATTGAAACTTTATTTCTCAGAATTGCGACTTTATATCTCGTAGTTGCGACTTTATTTCTCACAATTGCGACTTTATATCTCGCAATTACGACTTTATTTCTCAGAATTGCAACTTTATATCTCACAATTGCGACTTTATCTCGCAGTTGCGACTTTATTTCTCAGAATTGCCACTTTATATCTCGTGGTTGCGACTGTTTCTCACAATTGTGACTTTATTTCTCACAATTGCGACTTTATTTCTCACAATTGCGACTGTATATCTTGCAATTGCGACTTTATTTCTCACAATTGCATCTTTATTTCTCAGAATTGCAACTTTATTTCTCTTAATTGTGACTTTATTTCTCACAATTGCGACTGTATATCTTGCAATTGCAACTTTATTTCTCACAATTGCATCTTTATTTCTCAGAATTGCAACTTTATTTCTCTTAATTGTGACTTTATTTCTCAGAATTGCGACTGTATATCTCGCAATTGCGACTTTATTTCTCACTCTCGCAATTGCGACTATTTCTCACAATTGCAACTTTATTTCTCAGAATTGCTACTTTATATCTCGCAATTGCGACTTTATTTCTCAGAATTACGACTTTATTTCTCAGAATTGCGACTGTATATTTCGCAATTGCGACTTTATTTCTCACAATTGCAACTTTATTTCTCAGAATTGTGATTATTTCTCAGAATTGCGATTGAATATCTCACAATTGCGACTTTATTTCTCACAATTGCGACTTTATTTTTCAGAATTGCGACTTCATATCTCAGATAAAAGATAAATCGAGATAAAAAGCAATTTTTTTCCCGCAATTTTTTCTTTGTATTTTTTTTATTCAGTGGCGGTAACAAGCTTCCATGTATAAGTGATTATTGTCAAGTCAAATTTATTGCAATTTCTCTTTCAATGATTATTCATGATTTTCCAGTTTCACCAGTATGTGGATTAAGTTTGATGTAATATATATGAAACTTTATACATAGAAGATGTGTGATTATGCAGTTTTTGTGATGGTAAATCTAATTTCTCAAGATTTTGGTTATGATTGTCATCTCTCTCTCTGTCCTCAGGTATCAGAACGGCAGGAAGATGATTTACCTGCCGCTGCTGTTTGTGGACGAGCTCAGTAACCGAGTAAAGGATCTGATGGTACTGCGTCTTTAATAATTTACACTGCAGCTGTCTTCTCTTATCTCCTGTAGTGAGTGTGTGTGTGTGTGTGTGTGTGTGTCTGCAGGAAATCAACAGCAGCTCCACTGAACTGCCTCTGACCATCTCGTACGACTCCATCGCTCTGGGGAAACTGCGCTTCTGGATACACATGCAGGACGCCGTCTATTCACTGCAACAGTTCGGTAAGAGTCTGAAGAGTTATTTATCTGACTGATAAACTGTGACTGATTTCCACTTTAATCATGGAAAATCACATTAATATTGAAAATAAAAGTCACAGGGATATTTGTCCTTTGTATCTTAGGCTTCACTGAAAAGGATGCGGATGAAATCAAGGGAATATTTGTGGACACAAACCTGTATTTCCTCGCCCTCACCTTTTTTGTGGCCGCTTTCCATGTAAGGTCATGTGATTTACACTGATCATATCGTCTTAATCGTGAGTCTGAGCGGGGTTATATTTCATACATCACTGTGTTTCTGTCCAGCTTTTGTTCGACTTCCTGGCGTTCAAAAATGACATCAGTTTCTGGAAGCACAAGAAGAGCATGGTGGGAATGTCGAGCAAAGCTGGTTTGTGAACAATAACCCTCCTTTCACACGAATCCATGCAAACATACACTAATACATGTTGTTGAGGAAGTGAAAGACTGTTTATTTTTTTGTTATCTTGTCAAAGTTAAATTTAAGTGGAAAAATTGTCCAGAAGCATGTATATTATACATAATAACTATAAATAATCAATTATTGTATGTATATATATATATATACAATTAACAAAATAATTTAAATTAAAAAAAAATATATATATATATATATATATACAACATGTTATGTATATTTTTTATTAATATAATAATCTATATCAAATTGTCCTCAAAGTATATATAGTTTTTAGAGATGGCTTTTAATTTTTTAATAATTTACATTTTAAATTTTTTTTTTATTAAGTTTTTTTTAATAATGTAATAATGCTTTACATTTAAAAAAGTAATTGTAACATTTTATTTTTACTCAAATGTCATAAATAATTATATATAGGCCTATAGTATAATGATATATATATATATTTATTTTCTTTTTTTTTAAATATGAATAAAAATATAATAATTAAGATAAATATATATTTTTATTAATATAAATTAATGTAATATTATATTTATTTAATATAAATATTTATTAAATTGTCCTCAAAGTATATACAGTTTTTAGATATGGCGTTTAATTTTTTAAATAATTTACATTTAAGTGTTTTTTTTTCTTTATTAGGTTTTTCATAATGTAATAATGTTTTATGTATTTTTTAAATAATTGCTACATTTTTTTTACTCAAATGTCATAAATAATTATATATAGTTCTACAGTATAATGTAATACACATAATAATTTTTTTATTTTATTTTTTTACATATATATATCATAAAAATACATATTTAAAATATGAATAAGAATATATATTTTTTTATTAATCTAAATGAATGATAATTGTAATTATATTTGATAATTGTTCCATTTTATAGTTATTCATAAATGTGTATATTAATCAGACATCGGTTATCATCATAGCATGGCCGTGATCGCTCAGTGAGTTTGTTAGCGTGTATCAGCCTGTTGTATGTGTGAGCCTGTGCTGATGTGAGGTGTGTGTGTGTGTGTCAGTGCTGTGGAGGTGTTTCAGCACGATCGTGATCTTCCTGTATCTGCTGGACGAGCAGACGAGTCTACTGGTCCTGATTCCCGCTGGGGTCGGCTCTCTGATAGAGGTCAGTCAGTTTCACATTCAGATTTCTTTCAATATTCTTGACATAATGAAATTACTCCTACAAATTATATTTGTATATTCATTTGAGGTGTGGAAAGTGAAAAAGGCTTTTAAAATCCACGTGATCTGGAGGGGCTTGACTCCCACATTCCTGGTAAACTCTTACGGCTTCTCTTCTTCATTGCTCTGAATCGTCTTGATGATTCTCTAACTGTGATTGTTCTGTCCTTCAGTTTGGGAAACAGGACGAATCTGAGAAGCGAACAGGGGAATATGACACACTGGTGAGATTCAGCCTTATGATTATGTGTTGATGTATCTCAGTATGGCACGTTTGAGTATTGTTTGTCCCTCAGGCGATGAAGTACCTGTCCTATCTGCTGTATCCTCTGTGTCTCTGCGGGGCCGGCTACGCTCTCGTCTTCGTCAAGTACAAGAGGTGAAGAGTCACACTTGCTAAAACTTGTTTTGCTGAAAAAGATGCACAAATGATTAATATCTGATGTGTTTGCACAGCTGGTACTCCTGGATCATTAACAGTTTAGTCAACGGTAAGTGCCATTCTGTTGCTTTATTCGACTGATTTATGAACATTAAAGATGGAAATGTAATTGTTGTTGTCGTTCAGGAGTGTACGCCTTCGGATTCCTCTTTATGCTGCCTCAACTCTTTGTAAATTACAAGGTTTGTTGAGTCTTCCATCCAGAGTCATGAAATGATGCTTGATTTGTGTCTGGGTTTGTATTGTAATCAATGCATTTGTGTTCACAGATGAAATCAGTCGCTCATCTGCCCTGGAAAGCCTTTATGTACAAGGTGAGAGACTGTTTGCATTAAGCATTCATGATATATGAGAGACAATATTTGTTTTGACAGATTTTAGTGCTTTTAAAGTGCTTTTTAAACCCCCTTAAACTATATAGTATAAAAACTGCCAGTATGAAAACTACATGTTGTGTTTTCTATGTAACAATTTTCCATATTTTATATGATTGTACATTATTTAAAATATATATATATATATATATATATATATATATGCATTTTTAATGATTTTTATATAGATATTTATAAAAACTAAAAAAGCAGTATTATAATTTATCATAATTTATAAAAAATCATGATACTGAGTAGACATTACTTTCATTGTTTTTCTGTTATTTTGTGAAATTTTAATTTAAGTGGTTAAAACATCCTCATTTTTGCATATAATAATTATAAATAAATTGTATCAATTATTTAGTGTCTCTTATATAAATAAATATTTATACAATTTATATATTAATATTAATAATATATTATATATTAATTATAAATGATTGTATATAAAATGTTTACTTTATATTAGGGCTGTGCAAAAGTTAATTGCGATTAATCGCATCCAAAATAAAAGTCTGTTTTACATAATATATTTGTGTGTGCTGTATATAATTATTTTGTATATATAAATACCTATGCATGCATGCATATATTTAAGAATTATTTGCTCTTAAATTCTGTATATATATATATAAATACATAATCTATATTATATAAATATAAATATTTTATATAGGAATAACACATTTTCTTAAACATATACATGCATGTGTGTGTATTTATATATACAAAATAATTATATACAGCACACACAAATATATATGTAAACACAGACTTTTATTTTGGATGCGATTAATCGCAATTAACTTTTGCACAGCCCTACTTTATATATATATATATATAATCTTGATATAATTAATATAATGTATTATAATTAAATTATCCTGAAATTATATACAGTTTAAGATAAAGTCTATCAATTTAATAAAAAAAAATATTATATTATTGTAATTTTTACGATTAATAAATTAATTATATGATCGATAGATAGATAGATAGATAGATAGATAGATAGATAGATAGATAGATAGATAGATAGATAGATAGATAGATAGATAGATAGATAGATAGATAGATAGATAGATAGATAGATAGATAGATATGGATTTTTTACATTCACGTTACTTTCACTGTTTTTCTGTTATTTTAATTCTTCATTTTTGTATATAATAATTATAAATAAATTGTATAAATTATTTAGTGTCTCTTGTATAAATAAATATTTATAAAATGTATAAATTTATATTAATATTAATAATATATTATATATTAATTGTATATTATTGTATTTAAAATATTTACTTATATAATATAAAAATCTTAATAATTAATATAATGTATTAAATTGTCCTTAAATTATATACAGTTGAAGATGAAGTCTATCAATTTAATTAAATATAATTTTTTATGATTAATAAATTAATTATTGACTAAAAACTAGGGATGGGACGGTATGAAAATTTCATATCACGATTATAGTGTCCAAAATAATCGTGATTATCAATATTATCACGGTTTTGTTAAAAATTTATGAAAGAACTGATGCTCACACTGAAAACATTTCAACAAGTTTTATAATTGAAAATCAACAAACAACAAATAAAACAAGCCTCTCTATGCAGTTTTTTAAGCAATATTCTAATCTATGGCATTTGCTTCTTTATAATGCCCGTCGTCAATAGCAACACAATATTACACAACGCACATCCATATCACAACGGACACGCGCTCTTGTTTCATTCAAATACAACTTGCCGTCTTG